AGACAGACAGACAGACGATAGATAGATAGACAGACAGACAGACAGAAAGACAGACAGAAAGAAAGAAAGACAAACAGAAAGAAAGAAAAAATTATTTTAAATTGCAGTGATATTTCACAATATTTGTTTTACTGCATTTGTTATCAAATAAATGCAGCCTTGGTGAGCATAAGACTCTTTTTTTCAAAAACATTATAAAGTCGCAATTATTCCAAACTTTCAGTTTCAGCTTCTTTATTTATGCACAACAATTTGTTATTATTTAAAGTTATTAGGTCAGATAAAAATGTTTTATTACATGTCATTACATGTCGAATTGTAATCCACATCAATCTTGTTTTATTCATAAAATAAAAGCTTTAATATAAAATTAAAATTAAATAAAAATTACAAGCTTTAAATTCATTATGTGTTAAAAAAAATCATTGATGTGTTTAAAAAAATAATCATGTTAAAAGTTTTGTTTTATGTGAATAGTTACAACTTGGGGAATTTCCCGCTTTAGGGGGATTACTCTGTCTGTAATTCCCAGACCTGCAGAACAGCCCTGCTGGGGTAGCGTCGCGCCGATCCTTTTCCTTCTTCATGAATTTGGCGGACAGACCCTACACACGAAATTTATTCAAATGTAACACATTCATTTGATTTTTCAAACTATCATTGATACTGATATTTCGCGGATTTTCGTGGCAATGGCAACTATTCCAGCAGCGGCAGCAAATAATGGACTAACTGCAGAAAAAGCGGCGCGCAGCCCGAAGTGCGCCAGGTGTCGCAACCACGGCTTCATCGTGCAGTTAAAAGGCCATTCGGGAAAATGTCAGTTCAAGCAGTGTTTGTGCTGGAAGTGCTCTCTCATCAACGAGCGGACGAGAATCCTCGCGTCTCAAAGACGGATCAGAACCGAGCAGACCGCTCTAACGGTCTCCGCGGGTAACAATACTTCAACTAACGGGGTAAACGGCGAAACCGACATCAGCGCGAGAAAGAAGAGTACTGTTACTAAAGCGCCCGCTGACGACACAGCCTACCTCGAGCTCCGCGCGCCTGTAAGCACGTGCGGTCCCGTTAGCGCGGTTAACCGCGACCCGAAGACACCGGCGGGACCGAATTGCGCCGTTGGAGGTTTGTGCTTTTTTCACTAAATACTTATTTTTTTTAAACCTTATTTTCTAACCAGTAATCATTTAGTTTCAATGGCAACCTTTACTACACTGTAAAAAATGACTGTGAATTTAACGGTAAAAGACTGTAAAAATGCTACAGTAAAAACCTGTTAAATGGTTAACGGTAAATTCCCCTACTATATACGGTGAAAAACTGTATTGGACATTACATGTATTAGACATTAATTTTACGGTAGTATACCGTTTTTGGAAGTGAAAAAGACCGTATAATTTACAGTGAATTACCGTAAATTGACATTCCCAGAATTCCCTGCGTTACATTTCAAATTTGATGTTTTTATGTTGAAATAACTATGTTTCTTCTTAGTTTTTTCTTATCAGTTTTGTATATTAGGGTTGTGTGTTACACCTAATGTTGTTAAATGAATGTTTATTGCATTATTTCAGTTTCGTGTGTGTTACCGTGATGGTGTTTAGTGTTTGTGAGAATGACACCTTCTATATATGTTATTATTTAAAAGCTGCTTGCGATGGGCTTTGGTTCATCATGTGACTTTCTCATCACCACCTGCATTTGGTGGTTATCAGTGTAATAAAAAGGTACAAAACAGATTTCAGTACTTCAATAGGTTGGTATATTAACATTATATCAAATTAAATTATGGTATTTAACTGTAAATTTAAGTTAAAACTGTAAAACCTAAAACGTTGCTACCGTATTTTTAACGGTAAAATTCCGGTAACCACAGCTGCCGGTTTTTTACCGTAAATTTAATTTTTTTTTACAGTGTAGTAACCATATTAATATAACGTACAAGTCATTAGCAAACATGAAAATGGATCAGTATAGTTTTTCTACATTCCGTATAGAATTGATACAGAAAATCTAAATTTAACAAAAATAAAATGATTTAAGAGGTAATGACATTTCTGAAGCATTTAAATGCATTTTACTGAAAATAAATGTATACGCGTTTTTACCTTAATAATTACCTAATAATTATATTTGTACCTTAATAAACCATTTCTGCTTGAACAGACTTAATAATAATATTAATAATAATACTTACTTTGTACTTCGGTTAAGTACTTTGTAACCAAATCGGGATTCGCCGGAGTAAAATGTCTTAAATGTTTTATAAATTCAGTTTGAATAAATATGAGGTGATACAACTCTTAAATGGTATAACAAATGTCTTTATTATCATTAAGAGTTCTTGAATTTAAGAACATTACGATACGGCCTAATTTGATTATTAAACTTCACATGGCCATTATGTAATTAATTAACTAACCTAAACTGTTACTTCATATTTACTATTAACTATTTATTTATATAGCAAGTTGTAGATGGTTGTTATAATCTATCCCCCTAATCTTCGAGATGGTTTTATTATTAATATCAAGCCGCTTGGCCGGTTCTTTTTCGAAAAAGCCGCTTGAGGTAACTTAGTAAAGCATAAACATTTCAAAATAAGAGTCCCAGTGTATTTCGGGCTGGTTTATGATTAAAAATGTAAATAAAACATACCTTTCTGGATATTATTGTTAAACATTATTATTTTTTAGTAAAACAATAAATAATATTTAAAACGTGGCAACAATAAACTTAATAAACAATAAACGGCATTTCAATCAACGTAGTTAAACCCTTGTGGCTTCTCTCTCGGTCGCCAGTCACAGAAAGGAATCATTTTTAACACATTCAATAAATAGATTTTACTTATATCAGCACAATAATCTGTTATTGAAACACTAATTTGTACATGCTGATATATTAACACATCAATTTCAGTACATGTTGAATAAAACATGTCAAATTAAACTGTCATTTATCAAAAATGCAATTAGCTGTATAGTCTAATTTCTCTGGTCATGCAACATATTTTTAATTTGCATGAAATTAGTTCATTTAGAAGTGAACTCATGCAACAACATTATTTGTCACGTGTTAAAACACATTTACACTGTAAGAAATATAATAACGGTTATCTTTTAAACATTATGTAATTTCTCAATCTTTTTATTAGAAAGTGTTACTGAATATTGTATAATACTGTATATATCCACAGATGCACCACCTTTTCCTGGAGAGTACCTAATTAAAGAGGCAGTTCCAGGGCAAGTTTATCCAGCAGAGATGTTGGCAATGCCTCTTCCCCTGTACCAGCATTATCTGGACAGATACATGTTCCCGGCCGTGCTGGTGACCCTGAGACCACCTGCACCAGGAGCCTTCAGGGAACATGTTGGATTTGTTCCCTTGCCAGCAGGGGCGCTGTCCCATCCGCTGGAGACTCCTGAATGGCAAGTATGTTTCGCAGGCATGATTGTTCTGCCATGGCATCCATTAAAACTCCTACAAACTATTATGTTAGTAAGACAAAGACAGCATTGTCCGTTGTAGTCAATGTCTGAGCTAATGTCAAATTTGGTGAGTTAAGTCTTTGATACATACACGATCAAAGGTTTGGGGTCAGTAATTCTTTTTTTTTTAAAAGAAATTAGAACTTTTATTTAGCTAGGATGCATTAAATTGATCAAAAGTGACAGTAAAGACGTTTCTAATGTTAGAAAAGGCTTTTTCAAATGAAATGCTGTTCTTTCAAACTTTCTATTAATCAAAGATAAAACAACAGTTTTCGACATTGTTAATAATAAGAAGAAATGTGTCTTGATGTTTCCGTTGAAAAATCAGGGATAAATGACATTTTAAAATATGACATATATATATATATAAATTTTAAAATATGTAAAATATATATATATACACTGCCGTTCAAAAGTTTGGGATCAGTAAGACTTGTAAGTCAAATTTGGTGAGTTAAGTCTTTGATACATACACGATCAAAGGTTTGGGGTCAGTAATTCTTTTTTTTTTAAAAGAAATTAGAACTTTTATTTAGCTAGGATGCATTAAATTGATCAAAAGTGACAGTAAAGACGTTTCTAATGTTAGAAAAGGCTTTTTCAAATGAAATGCTGTTCTTTCAAACTTTCTATTAATCAAAGATAAAACAACAGTTTTCGACATTGTTAATAATAAGAAGAAATGTGTCTTGATGTTTCTGTTGAAAATTCAGGGATAAATGACATTTTAAAATATGACATATATATATATATATAAATTTAAAAATATGTAAAATATATATATATATACACTGCCGTTCAAAAGTTTGGGATCAGTAAGACTTGTAATGTTTTTTAATGGAGTCTCTTATGCTCATCAAGGCTGTATTTATTTGATAAAAAATACAGAAAAAAAACTGTAATATTGTGAGATATTATTTCAATTTCTAATATTGTTTTTCTGTTTTAATATACTTTAAAATATAATATATTCCTGTGATCAAAGCTGAATTTTCAGCATCATTACTCCAGTCTTCAGTGTCACATGATCCTTCAGAAATCATTCTAATATGATGATTTATTATCAATGTTGTGCTGATTCATGTTTTTTTTTTTTTTCTGAAACTGATACTTTTTTCCGGATTCTTTTATGAATAAAAAGTTAAAAAGAACAGCATTTATTTAAAGTTAAAATCTTTTCTAACAATATGAGTCTTTACTATCGCTTTTTATCCTTCTAACACATCCTTGCTGAGTAAAAGTATTCATTACTTTCAAAAAAAGAAAGAAAAAAATGTACTGACTCCAAACCTTTGAACGGTGGTGCATATTATAACACAATATTTCAATTTTGAATAAATGCTGGGGGTTTTTTATATTTATTTTATTAAGTTTTTTCATAAAAGAATCCTGAAAAAGTATCACAGGTTCTAAAAAAACATGAAGCAGCACAACTGTTTCCCAGGAAACATTTGTTATTATCAATGCTGAAAACAGCTGTGCTACTTTTCAAGATTTTTTGATGAGTAGAAAGTTCAAAAGAACAGTATTTATTTAAAATGTGATTATAGATGTCTTTAGTCACTTTTGATCGATTAAATGTGTCCTTGCAGAATAAAAGTATTAATTTCTTAAAAATAATCTGTGAAAATCTTACTGACCCCAAACTTTTGAACAGGAGTATATATATATATATATATATATATATATATATATATATATATATATATATACTCTTATTACAACTTTAATAAGAGTACTGTTATTTACACTAATTGAGGTAAAACAGGTTTTTGTAACTTATATGTCTTATAAATTCAGTTTGATCAAATTTAAGGCCATAAAAGTCTTAAATGGTATAATAATCTTAATTAGCTTTTACTGTATTGTTGGATCAAATAAAGCATCTTTGGTGAGCATGAGATACATCTTTCAAAAACATCTTATTGAACCCAAACGTTTGGAAGGTAGTGTAATCATTTATTTGTTCTTTCTCATTGTTACACTTTTAAATAACTTTTTATCTCTTCATCCGAACTTCAAAAACTGCAACAACTGTTGGGCTGCTCTCACTTTTAAGAAAAAATGGAGAAAACAGGTCTATTTCTTATTCTCTTTATCTTGTGCAGTCGACTTGCAGTATGTGAAAGCTTGAATCACCAAAGCTAGTTTAACTTCTTTGATGTTCTTATTCTAATCACTTCATTTTCCATAATCTGCACAGACGGCAGATATCAGGCTCTTGTAGCTGTGTAACTCATTAGATTTTTCAGAGGTTATCAAAACCTTCGGGAACAGTCTAAATCAACAGGAAGATCAAGTTTATGAATGTTCCTTCAAAGTTTAGCTCTGTCCCAGGCTTTCTCAGCAAAACCTTTTCTGGTGTATTTACGTTAAGTCTGTTTCTTCTGTCCCTGTGTTTCTGGAGATCCATGTTCCGCATTATAGTCCGTACCCCACATATCCAGGGCTGAGAGATGAACCTTCCCAGCGTTCACAGAGTCACATGGAGGGAGAGCAAGAAAGATCTGAGCTTCCTCCTCAAGTCGCAAGAATCCCAGGTATTAAATATTGAAACATTGTTGATTATTCTGATCAAATTAGGGGGAAGGACAAGGTTTCTGTGGGTCTTAAAAAGCCCCTCACTTAAGTGTGTGAGTGAGTGAAGTGAAGTGAGTGAGTGAAGTGACATGTGGCCAAGTATGGTGACATACTAGGAATTAGTGCTCTGCATTTACCCATCCTAAGTGCACACACACAGCAGTGAACACACACACGCCGTGAACACACACCCGGAGCAGTGGGCAGCCATTTTTGCTGCGGCGCCTGGGGAGCAGTAGGGGGTTCGGTGCCTTGCTCAAGGGCACCTCAGTCGTGGTGTTGAAGGTGGGAGAGAGCGCTGTACATTCACTCCCCCCACCTACAATCCCTGCCGGTACGAGACTCGAACCCGCAACCTTTGGGTTATGAGTCTATTTTTCTTATATATATATATATATATATATATATATATATATGCATGTGTGTGTGTTTATATATACATAAATACACACACATATATTATGTAAACAAAAACTTTATTTTGAATGCGATTAATCGTTTGACTAAATAAAGATTGCTGACACCCCCTCGAACATAAAAGATAAAGAATTAATAGTTTCCATAGATCTAGTCTTTGCATCAGTTTGTTTGATGTCTGAATCAGATCTCCTCTGTTGGAATAGAATTGGCTAGATGGCGCTGTCCCAAAAAATAGGGTCCTAGAAATGCGGTCCTAGAACTGCAGCCTCCGGTGTTGCAGGAACATTGGGTTGTTTTTTGTTCAGACCAACGTGAAAATCTGCCCATGTTTTTACTCTGCAAACACGCAGAGCTGTAAATGTGAACTGGTGGATCGATAAGATAATTCGTTATAAAAATCTAAACAGTAAAATGTGTTTGTATGTTAATTAATATAATAATTTATTCATAATAATTGTTTAAATGAATATAATACTTTTGACTCATACGTTTTTTTTTAAATGGTTTAATGGCTGAAATGTGAAATGTATCATTTTATAAAACTTTTTATTTTTGTGAAAACTTGTAGCTGAACTGTAAATCATGCTTTTTAGTCATTTTACAGTTTAATAGTTTACCATAGTCATTGCCCTACCCTGCTCATATGGTATTCATTTTATTTGTGCAGGTATTAAAAAGTCTTAAATTTGAGCTTAACAATCCTGCAGCAAAGTTTTTTTTTTTTTGGTCGCATTATTTAAATAGTAATTGAGATCCATTGGAAGTTGAATTTTTAAACTTTTGCCGATACAACTCATTTGCTGCTCCCTAGACATTTACATTTAGAGAATATATTGACATTGTGTTCAGATTTATTTATTTTTTGTCAGGGGAATTAGTTTGCTTCCACAGTGACTGAAACAGGTGGAATTTTCATATTGTTCATTGTTTGCTTAATACAGAAAGTCAAGTTTGTGGTATCCAGCGAACAGATGCTGTAACTGCTGACAGTCTTTCCTCGAGGAACGCAGATGAGACCAGATGAGACCTTCGGTTTTCATGACGACTGATCTCACATCTTTTGTACATAACAAAACAGGAGTTTTCCTTATTCTTTTTCAATTTCCGATAGCATCTACAATGCATGTTCGTTACTGTGACAATGTTCGTGATGACACAGCTGAAATCAATGCTGTCTTTGTTCCAGTTAAAGGCAACAGTTTTTAATGTCTTTTTACACTACAATTAGTTTATTACTGAATCGATTATGGTATCAGTCTTCGTTTGTTGTTGCATTTGACAGGTTAGAAAGTTGAATGCCTGTTGTTTGTACTGTTTTCGGGGCAGTAGTGAAATTCAAGTTGTTATTTTCCAAAATCTGGATAAGTGTTTTATGAATAAACGGTTCAATTCTAAAGATTTCGTCTTTTTGATTTTGTGAAGCTTAACTGAAGCAGCTCTCGACTCTTAAATCAGTATTTTCTATTATTATTTTCCCCTGTGTAACTCAGACCTGGTGTGATCCTGTTTGTAAAGAGACATTAAGATTCCCAGGATGAACATCTCACTTCATTTGCTTATCTGAACCCAGACAGCGCAGGAACGACACTGTCAGAATACTACAACCAGGACCAGTGGGCAGATAAACTAATTACAATCTCATGAATATTAATGTGCTCCTCTGGCTCAGAGCAGCGCTGAATGTAAAACTCCGATCCGATGTGTGCCGAACTCAAATGTGTGTTCAAAATGTAAGCCGATAAAGTAGTATGTTTATTCCCATAGCAAATACAAACATTACTGTGAAAAGAGATTTGATTTGCCGACTGATTTAGTACAAGACTATGTGCTTTCTGAACCCAAACAAGTATGGGAAAACTAGCTTTACAGTCTGTCTCTACATTAAAAAAAAAAAAAAAAACATTACTGATATAGATACAAATCTATGGAAAATTTTTCAATTAAATAACTTTTAAACTGAAGACAACTATGGTGATCAGCACCCTGAATGGTTTTATTGATGGTGTTAACATTGGTCTGCTTAAAGGGACACTCCACTATTTTTATAAATAGGCTCATTTTCCAACTCCCCTAGAGTTAAACAGTTGAGT